TCATGAGCTGTTCCTCTGTATCATAATATCAATTTTTACAATTCTAAACTGATCTGATTCAATTTTTGACGCCAAAGAGCCTTGATCCCGAGGAAATACAGTAAACTATAACACAGACATTGGCAAATTCCACCACTGAGTCCACAGCACTCTACTCCTGGGCACAAAAAGCTGCATCTCTAGCCATGCCCTGATACAGAATTGGGTACTATGTGCCTCTTCTCAGAAGTCTGTGTATGAGTGTGGTACTCGAGACAGAAACAGATCTAATTCCCTGTCTATAATCAATCCTAGGAAACCTGAGATTAAACCCACTATATATACTCTTCTATCTGCATTGACAGAATAAATATCCAGGACACTTCACACATGCATGACCTTGGAGTAAACGTGAATCTATTGGAATTATTGGCCTATGCTTTTGAAAATATATTCCCAAGAAAAAAAATGCAGGAGGAAAAACTACAATAAAACCTTGGATTATGAGTAATGTTCTCTGAGTGTTCTGCAAGATGGACAAATATTTTTAATAAATTTTAATTTTATAAATGTGCAATGTCTTGCAATGTCAAAATTCACGATTACGACTAACCCAATGGTTCTTTTTTCTCCCTGCCTCTGCGTCTGTCTCTGCCCCTTCCCTCTCTGTATTTCTCTTTCTGTCTCTGTCTCTCAATCTTGCTGCAGGATTGTGGGTGATTTTCTCCCAACAGCAGGAGGTTATGGATGAGATCTCATCTTCAGAAGTGGAGACAAAATGGCAGAGGCATCGCTCACTTCAGGTAAAATTAGGACGATGCACAAAATGTGGGAAACAGTGCAAAATTCTGTAGAAAAGCACCACCCAAATAAGACTGTAGCAGTGTGAGTGAGGAACCTGTTTAACGACAATACAGTGTCACATTTCTGCAAAATCTTCCAGAGCAGGCAACAGCAAGTGTCACTGAAGAGGTTCCTTGTTAACGTTGAATGAAAAAAAAAAAAAAAGATTGCATTGAGCCAATGGACAGCAGTGATTCTGTTAGTGATGGGGAAAGTCGTGCTACACAATAACTCTCCTCTCTGCCTGGTAGCGGGCACTGGTCAACTCTACACCTTCTAAAAGTTTCTATTGTGACATCACTGAAAATGTCACGCATAGGAAGGTATTGTAAATGTGAGCTGTCAGCAAATGCACCAGAGCATTACCTTCTACGGTTAGAGCCCGAAAGCTCCAAGAGTAGCTGACTGGTAGCAGATTAGAGGATTTCCCAACTCAGGCAGGCAAAGGTAAAGAAGGAAGAGGGAGAAGAAAGAGCAGTCTCTCCCATTTCCAGGAGGCAGGCCAGCACCAGGTGTAATTTCCAACAGGTGGCATCTGTCTTTGGCACCTTCCTTTTCTGGACCCCTCTACACTTACCTGTGCCTCTCTTCCTTGGCATCTCTGCCCAGAGCCCTGGACTAGGGGACTCCATCCTCTCAGCCCATACCTTTCGCCCTTCCCCTCCTGCTCCTGACCCAAATAAAAAGCTCTTCCTTCAATGCCTTCACTGAGTCCAAACTGCATGGTCCTTAGTAAAGAGTTGAGGAATTTAAAAAATGCCCAGGGCTTAACTTCAAGTACAGCATTTTGATTCTGTTGCGCTGGGGACTCTTTTGTCCAGGGTAGCTCTCCAGGGGACTGACATTCAGCAAGGCTGAGGACCACTTGTGAAGCTGATTTGGACTAGATGCTAAACCCCTGTGACTGGGTTTGCTCCCTGCAAGAGTGAAACAGGTGATGAATACTTACTAACAGACACTGGTAGGGGTTCTGAAAAAGTTTAAGCAGCAAGTTTTAGATTTGGTGGACAGGCCAGTCCTCTTGGAATCTGCAATCAATACACCTGAGCTATTCTGACTTTCGCAACTTCTTCCTGTCTTCCCTGTCTAAATTCCCAGCCTTTGGGAAGCCCGCCTCTTGCACCCCAGCCCCTCCACCCCAGCTTCCAGTGACCCCCATGGACTCAGCTCACAAGCGAAGTAAATAAGGGTACAGTGTTGAGATGATTTCCCTCCGGATCATTTGAAAATAAGGTTCATAAACTTCATTCTCTTCCTCACGAGAATGCACCGTGGGTCAGGACTGTAGAATTTATGGGTGTTAGAGCTGACAGTCAGTTCCCTCGTTCCCATCTTTTCTCTCAGTGCAGTCTGGAACTTGCTGCTGAAGTGTCCTTGGTGGGGACCACTGGGCAGACTGGCCAGGTGTGGTGCTGCTGGGGCTTCTGTCCTGCCTCTGGCAGCTTCCTGCGACTGGCAGGTGAATTCTGGTTCCATTTCAGTAACTACAGAAATCACAGGATTTAAAGTAAAATCCCAATGCCATCCTTGAGTAGCGCCTGCTGCCTTTAGAGGTTTCAGAAAAGTGCAGACAGCAAGTGGCAATGGACCCGGCACCCTGGACTGTGTCAGATACAGTCTGCCCGTGGGAGTGCACAGGCCTTTATGGGGAAGAATTCATTCTCGAAAGGAGAATTCTGTCCTCCATCTTCAGATTCAAGGTGCCACATGGTTACAAGAGTCACCTTTACTGGGTGTTCTATCAGCTTTTTTCCCTTTAAATAGCTTTCCATTTTATGAAAGGGTACCTGAGAAACAGGGGGCCAGCCAGTTTTCCCTATGAAGGTCCTTTGAGGTCCACCAAGTCTTAAAACTGCTACAACTCGTCCCTTTATGGAGAAACACAGGCAGAAACTGGCTTATAGCATCTCAGGGCAATTGACCTGATAGCTCCCAAATGAAAATGCTGGAGAAAAACCTGTTAATTCAACTCCATAAGTTAAGACCAACGTGTTCTGCTCAAAGAAGAGAAGATGGTACGAGGTGTAATTCACGTGGGACAAGACTCTAGCCTTTTCTGGATGAACCAGCACCTGGCAGCAACTTGCACTTTCTGTGTCTCTGCAGACTCTGATCCTTACACCTAAATCTCACAAGGTGTAAATTGACCTGAAGGTCAGGCAGGATCAGATTTGTTCTTCCTCATCTCCACTGGGAAGGAGAGGCCTCAGAGTCACATTACTAAGTGCAGGGACTCAGGTGGGAAGGTTAGGGACGGTGTCTTAGCAGTCAGGGGAAGTTGAGGAAGTGCCTTTTTAATATGATGGCCTGGCTCAGTGGAAGGAGTGACCTTTTGTTTCAGCAGTATTAAAGATTGAACCCAGTGCCTCATGCACACTGGACAAGTTCTCTGCCACTGAGATACTTCCCCCCTGCCTTTTCTGTTTTATTCTGAGACAGGTTTTCATGAAATTGTCTATGCTGGCCTAGAATTTGTGATCCTCCTGCCTCAGTAACTGGAGGTCCGTGTGTGTGTGTGTGTGTGTGTGTGTATATGCGTGTGCATGCGTGTATAATATGTACATACTCAAGATAAACACCCATTTATATGGAGACCAGTGGCCCCACTGCCAAATGGACGGTGAGACCTCTTTGCAGAGGAGTAATCAGAAGTAGGTTCACCATCAGCAAGTGGTCCAGGGGCTTCCCTTCATGAAAAAATGGGGGCCACCCTCAATGTGAGTCTTTGAGACAGAGGAACTCAAGTTGGGGCACAGAGATGCACACATGGCAGCCTTGGTGATGACGTCACTGGAAGGCTGTGGCTGACAGGGCTGGTGATGTGACACCCAACACAGAGCAGGTTGGAAGAGATGGTGGTGACTTCAAGAAATGAGAATTGATATCCATGAAAACAAAAAACAACGAAATGAAAGGATGGGGCTTTTTCAGTAGGCAGCCTTGAGGGAACAGGGACCACCACCTCTCCCTCCCTGGGGAGTGCTCTTCTATCCAGGATTAGCGCTGCTCTGATGGACCTCTGTGGCTCAGGCCCTTCCCCCCAACACTGTCTGGCCTTGTTTAGAAAAATCAAAATCTGGTTCCTCTTGGCTATTCCTCAGTGAGTAGCCAGGGCAGCAATAAGTTGCACACAGGTGTGGGTGGTAGAACACAGTTACTATCATCTTTCACAGTGGGTTGCTCTCCTTGGACTGGAGAAGAGGTCAATGCTGACCCATTTCAATGGCAAAAGAGGTCGCAAGACTCAGAAGGGAGAGTGAAAAATTCTTCAAAGGGAAGAGAGGACAGGAGAGTAAGGGAAAGCTGAGTTTGAAATTTAGTATCCTGTCCATTGCACAGCTAGAGGCCTCTAGTCCCTGCGGAAGGCTGGCCTCTGCCCAACTGCATGGATGACCACCTGCCAATGATAGCCAGGATAGCTCACATCACTTCATTCATGGATGAGGTCACCCCTGCCCAGGTGAGACATTCCCAGGTCCACACTAAATGGAGAAGAAACACTCACTGGCAAAGAGAAGCAGTGACCAATGGGAAAGAGGTCATATCTCTTATACTGTTGCTGACTGATTCCTAAAGAAACAGAGTAATAGGTGGGCACAGATGCAAGTGGGGTTGACCACATGGTCAGTGCTCAGTCTGGTCCTTGATTGGGGCCATCCCCAGCTCAGGTTCATCCTCTTATTGATGAGGTCTCTTCTGGCTCTAACTGAATGGGACCATGCCACGGGCCAAAAGGTTAAGGCATTTCAACATGCACTCTCGTATTTCCAAGCCAACCAGATTGTTTTGGATCCCAGAATATTTCAGGGCAGGAAGCCACGTAACACTTGCATTTTACAGACAGCACTACATGCCATCAGAGGTACCTAGATGAGGGGGGTCACGCCATAGCAGCAACACAGACTAATGTATGCATTGCCCTCTGCAAACACCAGAGTCCAGGCCTGATTAGTTTCACTGCGAGTTGTTGCTGTAAAGCTGTCTTTAGAACAACAGACACATAAAAATTACAGCTCCCCGCAGAGCTCCAGCAGCCCACCGCTGAGCCTGGTGAGACCTTCCTGCATCTAGGGCAGGTGTCCTCTGGTTTATTACAGGAGACATAATTGCTTTTGTTACACATCCATAGGAATCTCAAAGACATTTTTTATGGTCCTCATTTTCAACACCCTACTTACCAACTTCATCCCTGATGTTTGCAAGTTCGATTGACAGTTCTTTTTCTTTCACAAGGGCACTTTCATTCTGAAAAAACAAAACGGATACCAAGAGTCCCCTAGTTTTATGCTAAATAAGTACTTTCACATGTTTAATTAATGAATCATATTAAGCAAATATTTATAAGTCCAGCCCTTTAGGACATAAATTTTCTCATTACACAAGCATATAAAAACTTAAAAGTCAAGTCTGACTCATTCGTTTGTATTCATTCAAATATTAAACTCTGCAATGTGATATTTAAAATACCCATAGCTGTGCTTTTATTCTGAGCATATTAACTCTTGTAGATCATCGTGCAATGATTCTTTGCACATATGTGTTCTATACATCAGTATACTGCATCATATTACTATATGCTACTTAATCTTTCCACTTTGGACCATGTTATTTTTCTTTTAAGGAAAATGTCTTGTTTTACCACTTCCCCCTAAACTTAACCTCCGTCTATATTCAGTGAGCTACTTACCGAATAACAAAGATCAGAACTGAACCCTTGACATGAAACGTTTGTAACAAGACCAACTACAGCAGTTAAGGCTTCCAAGTTTTTATTATCTGCTATTGGCATTAATAGAAAGGACAAGAGGAAACTGTGTACTCAGTGAAAAGAATCCTATTTGTCTAGGGTTATTTTCAAATCAAATATATTCTGTGACACTAAAGAAACAGTGGAAAATATGCTGAGTTTGTAACCTGGGTTATGATAATTCAATGAAGAGTTCATTGATACCGTAAGGGTTTATTGTGAGTCTATAGCTAATTACTACTACTAATAATGATGAAATACTAACAACAATAAGTCACAGATATCAACCTTTCAAAGAGACTCTGTCACTCAATAAAACGTACTTCCCAAGCGAACAAATTTTGAGACAGAAGTTTTCAGCTCAAATGCAGACCATAACCTAGCCCAGATATCATCAGCGCCTTGTGACTGTTTTCTGCAGTTTGCATATTTCATGCCCAAAAGGTCCATGTGTTAAAGGCTTGGTGTTCAAAGTGGTGCTCTTCAGAGGGGCTGTGAATTCCAGAAAGGGAAGGAAGGATCCACTGGGAGGTCCTTAGTCCTGGGGACTGTGGAACTCCCAGATCTTTCTCTTTCTCATTTGTTTCCCAGCCATGAAGTGAATAGTTCACTTTGTAGGTTACTCCCCACCCTTGCCATGTGGCACCACCCACCATTGTTCCAAACCAGTGGGTCTACCTGATCTTGGGCTGGAACTGCCAAACCTGTGCGCCAAAACAAATCTTTTTAAAAATAAGTTAATTATCTCAGGTGTTTCATAACAGTAATGGAAAACAGACTAATCCAATGCTCGTTATTGACTATCTTTGCCTTTAGATTCGGCACCTTTGATGTACCTGTGGTCAGTGAACTATGGGCAGCTCTTATGCTGTTTCTGCAACTGGTCGATTAAACTCAGGTAACAAGGGTGCTAGTTTGGTTCCAGGGAGAGCCTCAGTCCAAAAGGTTTCCTTATCATTAACTGATGCGATCTCAATGCCAAGCCCACTGCACAGTGCTATCATGAAGGTACAATGAATTAATGTATGTGATGTAGTTGAACAGCGGTGAGCACTTAGCTCATACAAATGCTAGCCATTACTATAGTCTCATGATTTCTTTTTATTTTATTTGGATAACATCTTATAATAAGTGCTTTCTGTATTAATTATCTGTTTAGAATTTGCATATCAGTTTTATGCTCTGGTTTCTTGAGCATCTTACTGGGTCTGCCCTGACTCTAGAATTTTATTTTTCTGTGACGCTGGCTATGGATCCTAGGGCCTCAAGCATGCTAGGCGAGTGCTTTAGCACTGAGCCACGTTCCCAGAGAGATCAGAAAGACGGAGAGGGCTGGGGGTGCAGCTTAGTGGTACAGTACTTGTTTAATACACACAAGGCCTAGGGTTCCAGCCCCAGCACTGCCAAGGGAAAAAGGACAGGTGAGGGGTAACTCAAGGAGGTTTTGTTGAAAGATTATTTACTAATTAATAAAGGCTTGGAATGTTAACTACTGAACACTTCCTGTAGGCTGTACACAGAGTTAGGCAAGACCTGGTAGTGCGGTTCCTCAGAACTAACAGGGACTGGTCTAGTGCAGGATCCCTGTTCCCACCCCAGGTTAGCAAAATCTGGGATGGTGAAGTCTTCTATACAATGATACAGGAGTTGCACAGAACTAACTCACATCCTCCCACACACTTTAAATCATTTCTAGATTACTTATAATACCTAATGCAATGTAAATGCTATTAAAATATAGTTGCTATATTATTGAGGAGATGGTAATACAAAGTCTAAACATGATCAGTACAGATATATTTCCCCCAAAGTAATGTTTATCTGCATTAGCTATCAGATCAGAAGGTCTAAATATACTGTTAGTGGTTCCTGGATTTTATGCCCCTTTACTGGAGAGGAAGCTGGAGCTTTATGGTAAAGCAATCAGCTCATGCACAATCTTTCAGGAAATGGCATAGATGGCAGTTATAATCCAGTACCTTTATTCTTCATTCGAATGCTAACACACCAAGAATCTCTCCTCTTCACTTTAGATAGATGTGAACTCAAGATCAAAATTGTCTGGCCCTCAGACTGGACTGAGCACTTCTTGCCATGCAGCTTTTCATGTCTGGCTGGAAGAGAGGTGGTCACTCTCTTCTCTTATGGACTGATTGATCCGACTTCCTGGACAACCCCAGCTGTGCTCACTCTCTGCCTCACAGTCTGCGCTCTCTACATTTACTGGCCTTGATTTGGAGGTTGGATGTGGTACACTTCCAGTGGTTGGTTCCTTTTCAGTACAGCCTCCATAGGTGAAAATGTCAGATTGTGTTATCTGCTTGCTTTTCCCTGACAGCCCTAGAAAGGCCGTTCTGATGGCCCCTGAATGCATTCCTGCTGAAGATGCCGCCACAGCTCTGCCCCAGCTCACCAAGGAGAGCCAGCCTATGCAGTTTGGCAACAACCTTTCCTCCTTAAGTGCTTCTTCTGCAATGACATCAACCCTTCTAATTTATGAATTCTCTGCACCACGCCAAGCTCCTTTTTGTTTCCTGTCAGTCAGATCGGAATGACATAGTGCTACCCTGCAATGGAATGAGTCAACAACTGTGACTGCAGAACCAGTGCTCCTAAGGCAGGAGGTGAACTTCAGAGAACATTCCACTTGCTGTCCCTTGCCAAAAATGCTATCTCCCATGCTCTGCGCCACAACAGAATCCAGGGATGGTCTTCATCTCATGAAGCCCTCGTACTCTGGAGGATAACCATGTCTCCTTCTAAAAGGATCTCAAAGTGCTCTTCTCCTTCACTCCCAAACTAAGCTAGGTCCCGGGTGATGACAGCAGGGGATGACTGGAATATAAGCAAGTTCGCCTCTGATGGCCAAGGTTAGATCAGCGCTTCCCTAAATGGGGGATGAGTGGAAAATTCCTAACTGGTGCCAAGCACGAGAGCTCCTGTGTTGACTCAAAAGGGCTAAAAATAGAACTCACTATCCCAGTGACACTGTCCAGAAATCACAAAGCTGAAGAAGGCCATTCCTCTACAATGACTGTTCACAGCAGGGACAACTGGAAATGCACACGTTGAGAACACTCATCTATGGCCCAACCAGCAGCTGCGTTCCGTTGGTGATGTTCTCTCTCCTCTGCACTCAGTCCTGTGCGTGTTTCAGTATGGTCTTGTCTTCCTGTCCTCCTAAGTATCCCATTGCAGATCTGCTTCAGGAGAGCCCACTGCGTGTTTTACACACGGCTCCCAAGGCCAAGGCCATCCACAGACTCCTGGGGAATGCTGCCTTTTATTTTCCTGGCTAGAGAATCCTGGAAAGCATGCAGCATTCATAACTCCATTAATTTCAATCAACCAGCTGTGGGCCAAGCCCCAAGCCTGCCTGCCGCACCCTAATTTTAAGATGCTTGCCAGTGAGTGTTATCGGTTCAGACAGTTGATGCTACCCTGGGAACGAGGTGGTAATAGGAAGTGAAGGTGCCTCTCCTGGTTAGCATCACCTGTGTGACTCCAGACTTGGGCATCAGCCACCCCTGCTCTTTCCTGCACAGAACACCAGAGGACCAGCCTGTGTATTCCTAAAATGGAACGCTGGGTGACCCCGAGGTGCCATTGTTCCCAGTTAACCCAGAAGTAAGAAGCCTGCACAGAACCAGCATGTTTACTGAGTGCCTACTATGTGCCAGGCAGGGTATTTCTGCCTTCAAGGAGCTCATCTCTCAGAGAGTCAGTCAATGCATAAGTAGTTATAAAACAATGGGACTCAATTCAGTGGGCCAAGGCTATTTAGGAGATTTAAACTGAGGCTGGAAGATGAGTATACAGGGAGCACCCCAAAGGAAAGGCCAGGAAAGGAGTGACATACAATCTCTCCGGGGCTTTCTGGTTAGAGTTCTTGGCTGGCTGCAAGGGTCATGAGGACAATTTCACTGTAGTTTTGAGCCCTGTCTTCCCCATCATTGATACATTTTTTTAAAAGAAGAGACATATGTATGTAAATAATAAACTACACAGGCAAGCCTAAAGGCTCTTAACTAATCTTCATTCTGTTTTTGACCTGCAGACCAGGAAAATTGAGCCATATGAGCGGGGCCATTCTCCCCCAACTCTAACAAAAAGAACCACAATGAGGGATTCAATGAAGAAATCTATGGAATTCTGGTATTACATGGAAAATATCTATATTCTTTGTGTTGTAAATTTTAAAAATCCACAGAACACACGCACACACACACACACACTGAACTGCAAAGACGTTAAGGAATTTTTCACCCTTCCCAGAAACAGTATTGCTTCTCACCCATGAATACGGTTAGGTTTAATTGAATATGGTAGAACTTGACTTTACTAGAGAAATATTTTCTTTTGTTTTTCCAAATGAACCAGCCACAAGGGGACGTCCACAGAAGAGGTAAGTCTTCAGGGTTGTTTTCATAGCACCTTTGTAAACACTGCATTTATTTTCAACATTAATATTATGAAGATTGGCCCGAGTCATAACATA